CCAAGGCTCGATAACCTAACCTAACTGCAGCTTCAACCTTCTCCACGAACAGAGTCTTAGCTGGTCAGCCTGGAATTTTCAGGTCGGCACCAGTGAGGTGATCTGCTCCATAGGCTCTTTCGTTCCCCCAAGGAGAGACAAAGTGATCCACTCTGTCGTTCTAGCTGCCCCTCCTGCCAGCAAGGAGCCTCCCTTGCTGGAGAGCCCCCGAGAGCCCCCCTCGACTTGCTGGGTGAGATGTTGCCTGATTCGGGAATCACTGGATACAGCCAACGTCACAGTTCACCGCTGGTTTGCAGGGCTCTGTCCCCTCCGATTGCACTGGAGGCTCTGGCTTCACGCGGCCTGCATTTTGCTCATTTGCAAAAGGGACAGACCAACTGAGCTAGCGTGGGATGGAGGCAGCTGGTGGCTCGGAAGCCGTCTCTCAGCCCGGCCTGGCCCTGGGCACCTCCTTCTACCAGTACAGGCCTGTGTCCTGCTCGAGGAGCAAGTCTGAAGGGAGTCCAGCTCTGGGGGCTGCTGGGCAGGGACAGGTGGGTCCCCAGCTAGACCTCGGCGGCCCCATAGGATGGTCACCAGCTGAAGGGAAAGGGGGCATAGTTAAAATCGACGAACAGGGGCCCTGAACTTCAGCGGGGCAGCTGGCCGGGCCCTGGGATGGGAGGACCGGACAGGATGCCCCTGCTCTGGGCCACCTTCCCGGGACAGTTCACTGCAGCTCCATGGGGACCCCTAGCCTCCGCTGTTCACACTGCAGTCCGGGCTGTTCTAGCTCGTGCCTTCAGGGCCTGACTCTCACGGGGTTTCTCCCCAGGACCCCAGGGCTGCCCCCCTCTCCTGTGCTTGGACACTCAGCACATGGTGGGGGGGGGTCTCCCCCAGTGCCCAGTGGAGGCCAGTGACTGACACATGACAGGTGTGACCTTCTGGCAGTATTATTACCGAGAAAATGGCCGGTTCTTTGCTCCTCTACGGGCTGACCATAGGTGGCCTCGGGCCATCCCGCGCTGTGACAGACACTGACCAGTGCCAACGGCCAACACCCCGTCCTAGGAATCACCCCCCACCTCCAGAGGGGACCTCTAGCAGAGCACTCGCTGAAGCCGCTCGGCTAAGTGGTTGAGTCAGGACTCCAGCACAGCCCTCTGGCTTCAGAGCTCACGCCCCTTCCTGTACTTGACACTGCCTGCCCCCAAAATGTCAGTGCGCCACCTGTGAAACGTGCATTCTTCTGATCTGTGACCTTTGCCATTTCTATGCCACACACCAGTGGCAAGATTCCTTCAAAGGACCCGTATGAACCAGCCTCTGAGAGGGGTCACTGGATTCTTAGAGACAGAGGTAAGGACCGAGTCTGACGTGCGATGGGGTGAACGCCCCCCGGCTAACCATCTGGGGACTCCAATTCCCTCCCTGAAGGAAGGAAAATAATGTGTGTCCCATCTATACCTTGGGCTTGTTGCAAGGATGAGCTAAGACGCTGTGTATGAACTTATTTTGTAAAATGAAGCCTTATGACAATCATCACTTTTATTTTCGAGAAAACTCATGGGTTGCCAATTGGTATTTGAAGCAAAGAAAAGCAACTAGCATTTGCGTTTTTAAATGTCCAATGTCACCAGTCGCTTAAGAGTTGTCAATTAAAACAGTGTTACTTTGACCTATCAAACTCAGTGCCCTGGGTGCGCACTATCCCATGTTGTTTGCGGGACTAATTGATAATCGATATAAATTCTTAGGAGCCATTTGAAACAAGTACTGACAGCTTTTGGCTTGGGAATTCCACGCCTGGGAATCTCTCTAAGGAAACAAACAGAGATGTGGACTATACCCAGTGCATCAAGAGCTTTCTCTTATACCAGAGTGGAGTTGGAAGTCACTTAAATGTTCAAAAACTGGAGAATGAGGGGTGCCTGGGCGGCTCAGTTGGTTAAGCATCCGACTCTTGACTTCGGCTCAGGTCATGATCTTGTCCGAGCCCCACGTTGGGCTCTATGCGGACAGTGCAGAGCCTGCTTGGGATTCTCTTTCCCTCTCTCTCTGCCTCTCCCCTGCTCGTGTTCAACATTTTTTAAAAAACTGGAGAAAGTGAAAATAGTCCTTAGCTTCCGTCTGCCCAGAGGGACCCAGCTCAGCCCCTGGGAGCAGCCCATTCCTAGGCACAGGAATTATTCACGAATGGCTCTCTCACCGGGAAAGATGTATCCACTTTGCTGGAAGATTAAATTGGCTGCAATGAAAACCAACACAGTGGAAAGTCTTCATCAGCCAGAAGATGAAGGCTGAGTTCTAAAGGAATATTTTAAGATCAATGAACTTCAACGACTTCGGCAAGGTTTCCTGCCACTGGAAACAGAGCGTTAACACAGACCGTTACTTGGTGCCCAGAGGACCCTAATCTACCAAAATACTCTGCAGCCATTCTAAGCGGTCCTCATGAATGGTTTCTGGTAACATAGCAAGCTTATGCTTAAGTGAAAGGAGTGTGATACACGATCAATATACAGCACGGTCTTGATGACATTTAAATATTTCATGGACACTCGACTTGGAAGAAAACATCAAAATATTGGCAGCCATGCTGGCTGGTGAGATGATAAATTTTTAAACTTAAAAAAATTTCCATACACTTATCTAACAATAAGTACTAAAGAAAAAAACTAAGAAAAAGATAAAGTTTTAATCGTTGATTTATACCTCCTTTGATTCCAAAAAGCACTTAAGTTATAATGCTCTCGTCAGATGAAAGTGTATAAAGGTCTGCTCTGAGGTGACAGTTTGGAATTCCCCTAAAAAATACTGACCTACCAGCTTTGCACAAGCAGAATGTTATTTTTTTGTTGTTACTAAAACTGAAAATGTGTCCCACTATAGGAAAGTAGACTCTGCTCTTCGATTACTTCGTGACCTCGAGTCTGAATATTACTAAGAAGGGAACCTAACGTTAACAACCTCAAGCAGATTACTTATGCATTGATTTCACTGAACCCTTCCTCATTTCATAAAGGATTTTCCTCCACCCACTACATGCCTCCAAGGGATCTGAACCTGAACTACAAGACAGAGTAAACGCCAATGATTGGCCATGGCCTGGCAAAGACAACAGCCTTGACCTGCTAAGCACAGATCCACAGCCAGGACAGCATCCGCCAACACAGCCACCTGGGCGCAGGCTCTGAGACAGAGAGAGAGAGAGAGAGAGAGAGAGAGAATCCAAAGCAGGCTGCAGGCTCTGAGCTGTCATCACAGAGCCCGACGCGGGGCTCAAACTCACAAACTGGGAGATCATGACCTGAGCCGCAGTCGGACGCTTAACCAACCGAGCCACCCAGGCGCCCCTCTTCTCTCTTTTCTTGACCAGGGCCTGCCTTGGTCTCTGTGCCAGAGCCCATCCCCATGTGATACACTCACGCATATCTGGTTAAGGTGGGGACACTGTCCCACGTTTGCTGCAGGTGGAGAAGGGGCCCAAAGCAAACAACATGGAGGGAGCGATAACTTCATGAGAGCCTAGCAGCAGCAGGGGACCAGGCGCCTGCTTCTCCTCTTGCCCCTGCTGGGCGGACTTTACCCCAGCGTCATCTCATCAGAGCCATCCATCCACCCACAACCCGGCCCAGCCCCAGCGTGTCATTCTTAAGGGCCTGATAGCGTCTCCATAAAAGTGGCCTACAGTGCCCTCTGGTGGTCGCTCCGAACATAACAGAGACCTAGTGTTCACATTCAACTGCCAAGGAATCTCCAGCACCTGGTATGAAAAAGTGGTTGACTTTCCTATATGACGACTGGATCTTAGCTGAATACAGATATGTCTTTATATGGTATCAAAGGATGAAGACAAAAGTCACAATCAGCGGGTAAAGGAAGAAAAACAGATACCCATCATCGACCAAATTCTATCACAAGGGGCCTCAGCATCTGAGGCCCAGAGGAAAGTCCCTCAACAAAGGCTGCATTTGGGCCATTTGGGACACGATGGGCTGTTTGCCAATGGAAAGAGTCGAATTATTCATTGTGAGCTCTGAAACAGCCGAGGGCTGACCTAACAGCATGCTAACATAAAGATGCAGAGTGTAATAAATCCTAACATCTATGTTTAACAAAATAAATCCAACACATTTCAGGAAAATGATGCTTTTAATTATTTTGAGTAAAAACCCTATTTTCCCCAGTTTAATAGGAATCATTTTTATTAATCAAAAGCTGCTTGCTGGATTTTAGGTTAGCTCATTCTGTAGTTTTCAAACATAATGACTCATATTCAACTTCCTTCCTCTTAGAGAACATCGCAGCGGCTTGATTCCTGACACACTTAACAAGGGGGCCTGACAGCATCTTCAGAAATCATAGATGTAGGCAATAAAAGCAGTTTCTTTTCTGAAGAAACGCGTTTTCAAAAAAAATTTAATGTTTATTTTCAAGAGACAGAGCATGTGCAGGGGAGGAGCAGAGAGAGAGAGGGAGACCCAGAATCCAAGGCAGTCCCCAGGCTCCAAGCTGTCAGCACAGAGCCCGACGCGGGGCTCGAACCCATGAACTGTGAGATCATGGCCTCAGCTGGATGCTCAACCAACTGAGCCACCCAGGTGCCCCCTGAAGAAATATGATTTTAACTCATGTTATCTTCTCCCCGATGACCCGATTTAGGTAGCAACAAAATGGGCTCCATCGACCCAGAGCAGCTGAGGAAGCTGTCGGCCGCTGCTGAGAGCAGCATTATTTAACCAGCTACAGAGTGCGCTTTGCAGCAGCGGGTTAGGGACCTGGCGTAAGCCGGTCTGTGCCCAGGAAACCTGACTTACAAAGCAGAGAAACCACTTACACAAAATTCCCTTCATCCTTCTCCTTTCTTCCGCAAGCCCATTTGGGGGAAAAAAGTAAAATAATGTGTACACGCGTGTAGGTGTGTACACGCAGAGGACACTGATTATACAGTGTCCACTTGGGGTGAGATGAAATTTGGAGAAACTTTTAGGAACTTCTCTTGTTCTAGGTCATTATCACTTTAGACTGGAACAGTGGAAAAAGAAGTTCTTTTATAAGGAAGGGCGCTGCCCTGCGCTGGATCACCACCACCCAGGACTGTCAGGCACAAAGGGACCGAGAGGAGGAAGGTCCGCTCGTGGCTCACGGCGGTCTGGCCTGGCCACATACCTGCGGACGCACAGTGACACGACCAGCCCTGCCGGATGGGAGCGGGCAGCGACGGCACAGCCGTGGGTGGGCGAGGTCCTCTCCCCGGCCCGGCGCTTCCGGGAAGCACCCACGCGTGGCACCTTCAAATGCCAATGGGCGATCTAAACCTGGCGCCGGCCCCTCTTCAAGGAGCCCCGTTGGAAGACTATCTGGAATGGACAGAACAAAGCTTCTGGGATCATAATGAAAGGCACATCTCTATGAAAATGGCTTCAAAATTAAAAAAAAAAAAAAGAAATCCAGCAACCACATCCGCAAGAAATCCAGGAAGAGTCCAGCCCTATTTTGTAAGCAAGCAAGCAGATCAGCGTGTGCAGCTGGGCAACGCCCCACAGAGGCACGTCGAGCCCTTCCGGACTGTGTGGGCAACCTAAGCAACCTCCCGGGTGCCGCCGACTTCGCCGTGTTCTGCCTCACCTAGAGACGGGAAGAGAGGGAGAGGTTAGCTGTGAAACGAAGCTGACGGCCCTTACAAGGTGGTCACTCCAGGGACTGGCGAGGGAAAGTCCCGACCCAGAGGGTAAGGTTTGGAGCTAACTTCAGCCGCGCCCGGTGAGGGAGACCAGGCAAGGTGGTGGCTTAGAGGTGCTGGGGAACCTTCAGGAGGCCTGGCTGAGCACCCTGCAGCTCAGGCTCAACAGTGACAGGGGGCGACGGCCAATGCCCATGAGAAGTGCCCACTCGGGGATGCCCGCAGGGGCGCCGCGTGACCGTGGAGCCTTCCAGTCCACACGCGCATGGGCTGCTGGTCTGGACCCAACGGTCCGATGAGCCACACCCGGTTCAGTCCGGCCCCACATCAGCCCTACTAAGTGGCGTTTGCACGGAAGCCTCCACACTCCATCGGAGTCCAACAGACTTCAGACACCGAGGCTTTAGGGTATTTGGAGAAGGAACATCTTCCAAAACTGGGCTGGGCAGGCCGGCCCCGGTGGCTGCCATTCGGTAAAGCTCCGGAAAGCCTGCGAGGCCCCGGGGAGTGGGTCCCCCAGGGTGTGCAGGCTCTCGGCCCTTACAGACATCACTGTCTGCGGTGGGTAGGATGGTGAGGGGCCCACCCCCGGACTGTGACAGGGACAGCCGGGAGTCAGACGTGTCCCGACAGGTGTAAGGCTACGACCCCCAGGATTCGGGGGTGCTGCCTCAGAAGGGGTCAGGTCCTGGTCTAGACTTTGGTCGTCCTCTCCGAACGGGGAGATGCCCCCTCTTATCTCTGAGCTGCAGAGACGCCCACTAGCCTGTAATAAAGTGGGAACCTCAAGTTTATCTATTTTACTCACTTATTCAACATGGAGACTCGGGCGAACACATGTTTGTTATTAAAGCAAGCACTGCCCTTGGGCACGTTATTTATACAAAAATAACTGCACGTGAGAGACTGTCATGTCTTGTAAAAGTAAACTTTAACCTCGCAGAGTGGGCCAGTCACCATACGGGCCACCCTCATGGATAAGTCACTGCCCGGTCACAAGGCTGCAAGTGCCGCGTCCATATTCCTACAAAGTCAGGTGGCTTTGCCCGTTCCGAAGAGATTCGGTGGCCTGGGCCTCTCCCCTGCACACACAGACGCAAAATAAACACCGCCGCTGCTGGCTTCTTTACTCAAACAAAGGAGCTGACAATCTTTGTCTCAAAACGTCAGCCTGACAAGTAGCCAGGGGTTACTCAACACCTGCCCTGGGCCGCACGCTGTCCTGGGCCCTGTCTGGGACTGAATGACTGACTGGCTAAATAAATAAAACCCGAGGGGCGCCTGGGTGGGTTAGTCAGTTAAGCGTCCGACTTTCGCTTAGGTCATGATCTCGCGGTTCGTGGGTTTGAGCCCCACGTCGGGCTCTGTGCTGACTGCCGCTCGGAGCCTAGAGCCTATTTTGGAGTCTGTATCTCCCTCTCTCTCTGACCCTCCCCTGCTCACGCTGTCTCTCTCTCTCTCCTAGAAATAAATAAAAATATTAAAAAAGAAACAAAAATAAAAAAAAATAAAACCCGAGCTTTGCCATGAAGAGATTTACAGTGGTGACGGAGAACAGTCGACCATCATGGGTGGGGGCCCCGGGGCCAGGATGCCGGGTCTCCATCCGGGCACCAGCACATACTGGCTGTCAGACTTCAGGCAAGATTCTAACTCGTCTGTGCTCCAGCTCCCCACCTTCCAGACGAGGAGAAACACTACTGAGGGGCGGGGCGGGGGGGGGGGGGGGGGGCAGGGAGTGCGCAGCAGCCAGTACCGGCCCCCCGGGCGCCAGCTGCTATTGCTGCTGCCGCGATCGCCGGCTGCTGGGCCCTGAGGATGCCGGCTATGAGTGACCCGCGGCAGCCGGGAAAAGCCCCAGTCCTGTGTGTTCCTTCCTTTGAACCCTGACCTAATTTCGAAGGCTCTGATCACACCCTTTTTCCCTGTTCTTTTCCCATTTTCAGGCTATTTTCTTCTTTGTTTTCTCCCAGGGGCCCCTGGGTGTCAACCTTCCCACGCCCAAGTGTCCACTTCCCGGTGCGTGTCCCACACGGCCCCCCAGCACTGGGGCTGACGGGCACGGGCCGCACGCTCAGCCTCAGATGTGGACGTGTGCTCAAGTCTGGTTCTCATGGGAAAACGCCACCATCGGCCAGAACCGGGCTCCAGCCAGGGCCCCAAAGCATAGCCTTAAAACAAGGTCTCAGGCGCACCTGGGGGGCTCAGTCAGTTGAGCGTCTGACTTGGGCTCAGATCATGATCTCATGGTTTGTGGGTTCGAGCCCCGTGTCAGGCTCTGCGCTGACAGCTCGGAGCCTGGAGCCTGCTGCCTGCTTCAGATTCTGTGTCTCCCTCTTTCTCTGCCCCTCCCCCACTTGTCTCGTCTCTCTCTCTCTCTCTCTCTCTCAAAAATAAATAAAAACGTTAAAAAAAAAAAAAAAAACCAACCAAGGTCTCAGCCTGCAGAGATCAGGGCTCTGTGAACTTAGATGGAAAAAAGTTTTCATTTTCATTAACCTCTACCTGTAATTTATCATTTCCTTCAATGATGAACTTAGGCAATTAATGCCAGTGGTGATAGCATTGTCTGTGACCGTCACCAACAGAAATAATCACAGTTACTTTCACATCATGTTAGAGCTGTCAAAGATGCCTAAAATAATTCAGTCCTCACTACTCAGAAAGTAATGTTACAGACTCACTACTAAATCTTATTTTACTATGTTCACTAGAAAGTCACCATATTTTTAAAAAGTCAACATATTGCTATACCACACATTTAAAAATATTTTTATAAGTGCATTTCAGTACATCTCGGGACATTACATTATATTCATATAATGTATGAATGTATATTTTTGCAAATTTATTTCAACACATTCAATACATTACATTGAATACAATATAGGTGGTTTCCACTGTATTTCCTATGTATTTTATACTCCTTTTTTTTTTCAATGTTTCATTTATTTCTGAGAAAGAGAGAGAGAGAGACAGCGTGAGCAGGGGAGGGTCAGAGAGAGAGGGAGAAACAGAATCCGAAGCAGCTCCAGGCTCCGAGCTGTCAGCACAGAGCCTGACACAGGGCTCGAACCCATGAACCGTGAGATCACGACCTGAGCCGCAGTCGGACGCTTAACCGACTGAGCCACCCAGGCGCCCCTATATTTTATATTCCTAAAAAATGTTATTCTGAGGGGGGAATCACAGGCTTTCCCAGCTTGCCAAACGGGTCCCCTGGTATAAGGAACGGGTAAGAGCCCCCTGGCTTTAAAAGATTGAGGGCCACTAATAGAAGCTGCAATATAAGAAAGATGTGTCAATACTTACTGAAGCGTGACGTTATAATATTCCTCGGGTGTCACTATCTTGGGGCCGCCGAAGTAGTCCAGGACCCAGATGTTGGTTATATTCAACTTCGCAAAGAACCAGTTGTGGCTGGAAGGCCACGTTTTCATCTCAGGGTGTCGGACAAACAGCGACTGCTTGGCAAAGTCCATTTCCGTTCCATTCACCTAAAGGACGTATGGGAAGTAAACGACTCGCAGCAGCAACCCTGTCGAGGATGGCTACAACTCCTAAAGTGTTTATTTAGTTATAAACCCTGCTCTTCCACTTAAGGCATCAAGAGAGAACGAAGCAAGCACGCAGAAAGGTAGAAACCAACACAGTTCAGAGGTTGCCGGGAAGAGATTGGCTGAAGTGGGGACCCATCTCGAGCGCAGGCTTCCGCATGGCAAAGTGTTCGGGTGCCTGTGGCGGAGAACACGTACCCCAGGACAAACCCATCTGAAACACGGAGACGCAAATTCACAAAAGATAAACGTCTTTCGAAGAAGCACAGTGGAACGCAAGGGCATCTGCCGCCCCTCCTTTCTCCGGTGACCTTCAGCCACAGAGATGCGTCCGCACGGGATTTCCAGACCATAAATCAAACTTGTCTCGGGTAATCATGACTGACAACATCAACAAGCACAACATCAGTAAGCATGGTGTTGGCTCGGCAATCAGATCAGCGCTAGGGCACCTTACCCCGCGCCCTGCAGTAACCATCCCACGGTCCAAACCCACGTCTAGGATCTAGTTGTGGGCACCCCTCTCATAGCTCACATGGTACGCTCTCTGCCTTAAGCCATCGAGAAAATACGGAGACAAGGAACCCACACATGGGAAATACCCTGCGGCGACTGGCATGGTCGGGGGTAGAGAGCTTTGGTTGAGCAGGTGTGCCTTACGGAGCTGCTACATCCGTTTGGCTTCCAATAACAGTTCACTTCCGCATAAATACCTTATTGAACACCTACATGAACTGAACTGATTTAAGCCTCTCGATTTCATGAAATTACAGATTATCTCAATCACAAATCATTTTATTCTTAAAATATCTCCTTTCATTGTTAATAGATGATGCTCTTTTTATTTATTTTGAGAGAGAGAGAGAGCGTGCGCACGCGGGAGCAGGGCAGGGGCAGAGAGACAGAGACAGAGAGAGAGAGAGAGACAGAGAGAGAGACAGACAGAGAGAGAGAGAGAGAGAGAGAGAGAGAGAGAGAGAATTCTAAGCAGGCTCCACCCTGAGGTCGGGGCTCCCTCTCATGACTGCGTGATCACGACCTGAGATGATATCAAGAGTCGGACACTTAACCAACTGAGCCACCCAGGTGCCCCAGATGATGCTCTTCTAAAACCCGTCTCCATTTGAGGGGGATAACCACTCACCTTGGTAACAGTCCCTGACAGTATTATGTGAGCACAGAGGGGACTCTGGGGATCAAATCCCTGCTTTTGGCAGAAGTTAGTCTGTGCCAAAGACATGGTCAGAGTAGCATGTGGATCCTCCTGCAGAGAGAAAATAAAGATCTTCCTGTGTGAAATACGATCTCTGGAGAGGTAATACATTTCACAAGTCAGATCCGCATGGACCCTAGAGCTGCGCACTCTCCCATGAAACAATGAATTGTCAAACACCACCCACCCCTTGAGAAAATTACTTGTTGGGTAGAAACTGATCTTGACCTTCCCTCCCAAAAAGCAGGGGGTAGGGTTTCTGATTTAAAATGAACTAAGAATTATTTTAACACTCTTTTTTTCTTAAGCCTTTAATGTGTTTCATCCTCACCAGAGAAATTACAATTACAGTACCACCCAAATTCAAGGCTGGTCTAGGGTTTTCACTGAAAGATCTAAAGGGTTAGACTCTAATATGAGACTAGTGCATTAAATACCATAGTTGTTGAACTAGCTAACTGTACAGTGTAAGCAGGAAAGTGGCTGACTCATGATCTTGGTTATCTTATGCTAGCAGAAATTGTCATGTGATTTCAAAACTGGAGAAGTTGTTCATTCCTGTCTTAGCGAGAGGAACACATGGACTCAAAAAGCGAAGCAAGCAGAACTCTCCATTCTTTCTTATTCAGAATCAGCTTCACGGAAGACGCTGCTGACGGATTGCAGCGGAATTCACACAGTGCCTCTAGTGCTTTAAACAGCTCGCGCGGAAAATTCTGCCATCTCACGGTGACCTATCACAACAATGCGTACAATGGCAACTCCTAGAAATCATTTAGCCAAATGTCCACGGTCTATACACCACGAGGCAAGGCGCCATAGGAGGCCCCCCCCCCATAAAAGGTCCTTTCTCTGGGACTCTATAATCGGGTTGTAAAGTCAGACATAAACAAAACTTAAATAATGACACAGAAGAGATCAGAAAGCAGTAGATACCTAATCGTCAAGTGAACAGTACAGTTTAGGGCGAGGAGATGTCAACATAGCCTGGAATGATATGGACACTACAGGGAGCCTCGTAAGATTTTCAAAATCAGCACAGAAGTGTGATGATGTATAAAAGGTAAAGGGCCTTTCAGAAACAGAACTGGGAAAATGTGGGACAGGACTATAATGAGAAACCCAATCTGCTTGAGAGAGAGGTTTGTTTTTTTTTTTTAATTATTTATTTCTGAGAGAGAGAGACAACATGAACAGGGGAGGGGCAGAGAGAGAGGCAGACACAGAATCTGAAGCAGCTCCAGGCTCCGAGCTGTCAGCACAGAGCCTGACACGGGGCTCTGACCCACTAACCGTGAGATCATGACCTGAGCTGAAGTCGGACGCTTAACTGACTGAGCCACCCAGGCACCCCTGAGAGAGAGGTTTTGAAGGGGGGGGGGGCTAAACTCCAGCTAAGGAGTCAGAATTGTATTCTATAGGCCAGTGTCTGTGCTTTCCAAGAACCACCTGTCTGGGGAGCTTGTTAGAATGCTGATTTCTGGGCTCCGGTCCCAGCCCTGGTGTTTGTATTTTTAACAAACATCCCAAGTGAATCATACGCGCTCTGGGCAGCCAGATGTTGCTCAAGGTTTCTGAGCAGAGGGAAATGCTGAGTGGCATGTGATCTGGTGGGCAGGGTGACAGGGAGAAGACGGGGTCAGAGGCAGGAGAAAATATAAACCAACCTGCCAGGTTCACTGACAGAATCAGAGTCAGGCTAATTCTGATGTGGCCACACCTTTTCACTGCCATCACAGACACCCGAAATCCTGGATGGGTTTCTTACACGGTCTCTCCAGACACGTCAAAGACCTGGGCTGGAGTTCTATCTGGCAGCCATTAGTGGCTGGTACAGGTGAGTCCCTGCACCTCTTCATTTTCCTCCCTCCTGCGATGCAGATGACGGTATCAGCCCGAGTTTAAATGGGATCATGGGTAGTAGTTGCTCTCCATCCCCTCTCCCTCATTAGAAGCCTTAGGGAGCGACTGGGGAGTTGTTTTTTTTATGAAATACCTCGGCACTGTATTTTTAAACGTCTTCCCAGGTGACTGGGTTTGCAGCCAAGGTTGAGGATCACTGACTGAGGGCAAATGACTAAGAGGGTGGAGGGGGCTGGGAGTAAGGGAAAGGTGAACACAGGTGGAGGGCCCTAGAAGGAGGCAGCTGTTTCTGGTTTTGCTCAAAGAATTCAAGCCCCCAGGGCCACAGATCTTCCAAGAAGTTAAAAATCCAGATGTGGGGGCACCTGGGTGGCTTAGTCGGTTAAGAACCTGACTTTAGTTCAGGTCTTGATCTCCTGGTCTGTGAGTTCGAGCCCCGCATGGGGCTCTGTGCTGACAGCTCCGAGCCTGGAGCCTGCTTCTGCGTCTCCCTCTCTCTCTGCCCGTCCCCTGCTTGCCCTCCTTCTCTCTCTCTCTCAAAAATAATAAACATTAAAAATTTTTTTAAAAAAAATCCAGATGTGTAAGTGAAATCTCAAATTTCGAATGTTGGTAACTACAATAGCCCCACCCACGGGGAATACAACCCAAGCCCCCAGAGGATGCCTGCCTGAAACCCTGGATAGTACCCAGCGTCACATATACTATTCTTTTCCTACACACACACCTGTGATAAAGTTCAGTTTATAAATTGGTCACAGTAAGAGATCAGCAACAACAATAGAAAGAACTCTACTGTAACAAAAGTTATGTGGATGTGCTCTCTCAAAAGATCTTCTTGTTCTGTACTCACTCCTCCTCGGACGATGACCCAGGGTCAAATGCCCACATGACGAGATGACACGGGGCGGCTTTTGCAACCAGCCCTGGGCACTGCGGACTCTAAGACAATAACGCAGGAGGGTCATCTGCTTCTAGAATGCACTTGACTTCAGGTGAGGTGAAACCCGGATAATGGGGACCACTGCAAATCAAATTCGTTAACAACCAGACAGAACTCCGTGGACCCCAGGAAACTGGTCTGGGGGACGGGCAGCTCGCGTGCCACCATTCTGTGTCCTGTATTTTGACGGCAACCAGACCTGGCATAAAATTCCAGTCTGGCTACTGGCTTTGGGCAGCTGAGGTAACCCGTCTATGCCTCAGGTCCTGCCCGGAGCCGGGGGCCGGACTCGGTGCGCCGTCGCGCAGTCTGGGGAGGGCAGTGCAAACCCGGCCACAAACGGCGGGCACAGCCTGACCCACAGCCCTCGGTCCGTTCCGTCCTGACGGGGAAGGTCCCGTCGCCAGAGCCTTTCCAAAGTGCGTTAATCACTCACGACGTGTCTTAGCTTCTTGCTGGGAAAGGGAAACGCGTAACTCACGAGGAAGGGCAAGCCCTGTAGACTTTCACGAACGCGCGCGGCCGTGGCCAGGACGCGCCAGGGGGGCGAAGGCCTGCGGCCGGGCCCCGCCCCGGGCGGAGCCGGCCGCGCTCACCTGCAGGTTGCCCACCGCCTGCTGCAGCGGGCTCAGGTAGAAGTAGGGCACGCCGCTGCCCGCGCCCGGCGGCCCGTCGCTGAGCGAGAGCACGTCGGCGAAGGCCCGGCCGCGCACCGCGGGGTCCGTGGAGAGGGTGGCCAGGGCGCCCCAGTCGCAGACGTGCGTCACGAAGCGGGCCACGCGCGCCGCGTCCTCGCGGGGCGGCAGCGGGGGCAGCAGCTCGGCGGCATCCCAGTCCCCGTGGCCCCGGCCGCCCCGGCCGCGCGCGGGCGCCACCAGCAGCGCCACCAGCGCCGGCGCCAGCAGGGCGGCGAGCAGCGCGCGCGCGGGCCCGGCCATGGCGGCGACTGGAGCGAGCGGCCGCGGCCGCGCCACCCACAGGCGCCCGAGGCGCGCCCGGCCCCGCCCACCGCGCGAGGGCCGGACACGCCCCCTCCCGGGGGCCAATCGGAGCCCGGGGACGGAGGGGGCGGGTCCCTGCGTGCCAAGGACGAGGAAACGTCCTGAGTGCGAGGTCAGCTTTGCTTGCAGATCGCAAATCCGAGGCTTAGAGACATTAGGGAACTCGCCTAAGTCACCCTGTCACCCTGCTTGGAGAAGGCCTGCTTGGAGAAGGCCGGCGTCTTCACACACACACACACACACACACACGACTTTAAAAAGTCCCTTTGGATACGGGTATCCGACAGGCATGTGAGAAGAAACGATGCATTTTCTGTAAATGCTCCTCTCTTCTGTTTCCTTCACTCTCTGCACCAAAGTGGAAAAGGACAGAAGCCCCCAAGTTTAGGGCTTTCCAAGCGGCCCCCGGCCCACGAGTCTCTCAGAGGCACTAAGGGATTGTTCGTGGATTCTCGGTGTTCCTGCTCAGATTTGAACTTCTCGAAACCACTTTTGGACCTGTCAGGCCGTCTGGGGGTCGGTGCTTTCAGGAAGTCCTCACTCTTACTGCCCCTGTCACTAAGAACCGTCTTCCAGGTGCCTCTGTTCCCTGTGCCCCACATGCTGTTCCCTCAGCGGGGGGCATGGCGACCCGTTCTCTCAGGGGCGCCCTCTCATGATGATGTTCTAGGAATCGGTAACTAAGTTCGTACCACCTGACCCACATTCTCTGTAGCCGTAAGCTTGGGTCACAGCTTCGGCGGTGAATCCCACGCTTTTTGGCCCGGCTTCAAGTCCCCACCTTAATTGTGATCCATGCTGCGTGGTGATGCAACACAGGTGCGCGTCAGCTTTGTGACTCTGGCTCTGGCAGGTGCCTGGCGCCCTGAGGCTGCACTGGTCTACGCAGGTGAAGTGATTTCACCCTGCTGCCCGGGCCAGTCGTGTGAGCAGGCCTGCGCAACAGGTATGCCAGCCAAAGTCCTGCCTCCGCTTCCGGTCTCAAACTCCCCCTCCCCTTATTCAGCCAAGAAGATTCTCAGGCTACTTGGGGGGGGGGAGGGGGAACTTCTGTATAGAAAGAAGATGATTTACCGTGAATGAGAGTTTTCAGTTCCCTCCGGGAGACAAAAGATGTTTTTGCGCACACTGCTTTCGCCTTCGGGTAAGAGGAGTGTGAACAACCCTTAATCGAAGTTGGTTTCCTTTTTAACAACTGAATTTGGAAGCGCTTCAAGCTAGATGGGAAACAAAGTAGGGAGAAATTTAAGAGGAGGAAAGTCGGAGGAAAAGAGGAGGAAAGTTGTTACAATTTTCAAAACAAGCACAAGTAATTTGAGTAGCTGCCTTCCCCTGTTAAGGGAAGGGAGTATATAATTGCACATGTGGAGTTCTAATCTCACCACTGCCAAGGTCAAGTCACGGACGACGGGCTTCCCATTTCACCTTGATGGACCTCAGTTTTCTCATCTGAAATGAGGTTGGATTCAATGGTATCCGACACCTGTGTTGGCTCTGCAGTCTATTCACATGCAAAATATGGGCCTTTGGTGAGTTTCACAAAGACGTTTTTGCGGGAGGACAAAAAAATATTTTCTGTTCATTGCTATGCCGTTTGTTGCCAGTATACAAAATAACACGAGGCCCTGGGACAGCTGCATTGCACAACAGGTGCCTGGAACTTGGTCTCCGTGCCCTGGAGCTTAAGAATAAGGTCTACGGGGGCGCCTGGGTGGCTCAGTCGAAGCATCCGACTTCAGCTCAGGTCACGATCTCACGGTTCGTGAGTTCGAGCCCCGTCGGGCTCTGCACTAACAGCTCGGAGCCTGGAGCTGCTTCACATTCTGTGTCTCCCCCTTTCTCTGCCTCCTCTCCTGCTTTTGCTCTCTCTCTCAAAAATAAATATTTAAAAAAATATAAAAGAAATGAGGTCTACAAACCCCCCAGCTTTAAGCACGTCTCCTGTGTCTGTCTTTGCACTACTCGTGGTGCCTGGGGGCCCCACATTCTGCCCCCCAACTCTGAGCGTGGCCACCTCACTGCCTTCCAGATCGCCACTCAGAATCACTCCCCAGAGGCGCTTCCTTGAGCGCTGTTTCTAAGAGGCCCTCCTCGGTCACCCTTCAGTGGCCAGCACTGTGGTCTCTTTCACAGCAATAATCACACTCCAAGAACTATATTCATTTATATGGTCACTTGTGCTTGTCTCCCCTGCTGAACCAGAGCTCCAGGAGAGCTGGAATGTTCTCTCTCTCTTCCACCCCTGCATTCCCAACGCATGAAGTATGCACTCATTGTTTATCGAAAGGCTGCCTGACTAATACTATGGAATGGAATTCTTTGCACGTAATCAAACAACAGTATCAACAGTAGAAAGCGAGGCTGACTAAAGAGATCCTCGAGAATAACACTGAGGTGCTTCAGCTCTTAATTAGCAAGCCCTCCTCATCGGAATGTGGGGGAAACCCCTCAGCTAGGAGCGGCTGGACCAACCATCCAGCCCCCTGCTGCTTGTCATCTGGACTTTTCTGTCTCTATCTGACCAGGCCGAACGGCTCTCCATTCCCCATGGGCCCAGCAGGAGATAGTTAGCTTCTCTTTACATCTGGGTTTGACCCTGGTCAAGAACCCACGCTGCATGCTCCGCTTTTCACACAGTGCTGCCCTTTGGTGTCTGTCTGGGTCACTACCACTGCTACTGTGTGGACGGCTTCACAAGGGGTAGAGGAAACAGGGAGGAAGGAACCTACGGAAAGCCACGTATCAGGGGTAACTGTTGAGTTGAACCCTGAAGGATGAATGGACGCTTCGGAGATGGCGAGAAAGTGGGAGGAGAGGAGGAAGGGGAGAGTTCTACACTGAGGAAGTAGAACGTTCCTCTGGTTGGAGGCTTCCCTCCACTCCTTGCCATGTGGCCTCTGCAGAGGGCGGCTTGCCTCCTGGCAGCTGGCTTCAAAGCAAGTGGCTGAGGGAGAGAGAGAGAGAGAGAGAGAGGGCCAGCAAGATGGAAGCCAGAGTCTTTCTATGACTTCTTTACAATGTCAGAGTGACGTCCTATCACTCAAGGAGAAGGGCTTAACACAGAGCACGGATACCACGCAGTGGTTCAGACAGACACAGTTACATGACTTCGGTGTTCAGTTATGAATACAACTATCACAAACTCAGAAAACACCTGCAATGTGTATCTATCCTCCAGCCCAGCTCGGTAGCCTCCTCTACTCTCATGCCTCAGTCTAGAACAGAACACGATGGAAAGGGGAAGAGGAGGCTAAAAAACCCTCAACCACATGAACTGAAAGTGCATACGGTGGCAGTAATGCCGGGCAGCCATGGAGCCCCTGCCTTGACGGTGCCTCGTGGCCGTGGGCCAGTGGCGCAGATCTACAGGGTCAGGTGCAATGGCCAAAAGTGGCTCAACTAAAGGTTCTGCCAACAGAGGAAGGGCCCTCGTGCATCTGTGGGTCATGGCGGTTGAGCTCATTTGTGAGCCTGTGTAAGACTCCTTGGTGACGGGCAGGCTGGGGGGCAGGGTGGAGGTGGGACTGTAAACCTAGAGCGTTACTGTTAATGTGACCCGCTTTGTCTCCTGGCAAACAGAAGCTACTTAGGTAGGTTAAGCTGTCATTGGGTAAAGGGGGGAAGGGGGGAACCTCTCTCTAGAGCTGGCTAGAGACCATGTTTGAGGTGGATGAGAAGCCGGCTTTGGTCAAGGTCTTCAGGCGACAGGCACTGGACCGAATCCCTGTGTTGCTTCTCTACGATCTCCGAGATGCTTGGGCCCAGTGTCAAAACCTTCACTTACCCAGAAAGTGGGTGAGTGGTATGGGGAGGGGTGGGGGGAGAGGGAATTTGGGCTGTTAATCGTTGTTCCTGAGAGCAAGAAGGACAGTGAGAGCTATGTAGTGACAGACAGAATTGAATTGTCAAGACACTGTGTGGCTCCCACATGAGGCACCTGTGTCGTTTAGATCTTAACACACCGTTACTTACACCACTGTTTGAAAAATGTTTCTATTTTTTTAATGTTTTTTACTTATTTTGAGAGAGAGAGAGAAGGAGAATCCCAAGCAGGCTCCATGCTGTCAACATGGAGCCCGATGTGGGGCTTGATCTCAAGAACCATGAGATCATGATCTGAGCCCAAATCAAGAGTCAGACGCCTAACCGACTAAGCCACCCAGGCGCCCCAATACTTCTGTTTTTAATGTGAGGAGCTTTTGCACAGTTGAAAAAGCTACACTTATTAGGCACGGGCTTTATTTTGAACACAGGTTCATTCAAATCACAGGTTTTGATACAAACAGGGATGATTTTACTTTGGAGGTTAAGAAGGTACTGTTAGTAGCTGGGTGACTATGAGCTGTGGTAACGAGAATGAACTAAAAGTCCTTTACAGCCTTCGCCTTATAGATTCCATTAAAGACGTGTGAAAAACCATGCAACAGAACTGCCTATCCAAACAACAACCCTTAGGGGCACCTGGCTGGCTCAGTCTGTAGAGCTCCCGACTCTGGACCTCGGGGTTGTAAGTTCGAGCCCCACACTGCTGCAGAGATGACTTTAAGAAAGTTCTCATGTGCCTTAACTAATTATAATCAAAGCATGTTATTTCTTTCCTTACACCCTCCAGCGGCTACTCGTTACACTTAATGTCCACTCCTTTGCACGCCCACGAGGTACCCGGCTGCACCCTGCTGAGCCCTCAAGCCACGGCCCCTCGGCTCACCCCCGCTGCAGCCACATGTCTCCTGGCTGTCTCCCAGCACCTCAGACCTTTCCACCTCTGGGGCTTTATGCTGCTTCTCCAAACTCCAGGAACTCACCTCTCTGAGTTCTTCTCTGCCTCCTTCACTGTTGAAGGATGACTTCAGGAAGAGAGGCGCTCCCTGGCCACACCTTCCAGAACACACTTGGGTCACTCCCAGCTCCGCGACCCCGCTTTATTTTCTTCCGAGCACTCACCGCAACGAATGATTATGTTTGTCCATCCTCTTCACTAGAATGGAAACTCCGTGAGCAGAAGACTGAGTTGGTGGTCGGTTCAGGCTGCTGTAATAAAGTACTACAGACTGAGTGGCTTAAAACAACACAAGTTCTGGAATCTGGAAGTCCAAGATGAGGTGCTGGCCTGATGGTCAGGTAAGGGCGCTCTGCTGGGTCAGAGCCTTCTCCTGGCACCCTCACAGGGTGGAAGGGACAAGGGAGCTCTGGGGGTTTCTCTCCATAAGATCATCAGGCCCGACCTAATCACCTCCCAAAGGCTCCGGCTTCTAACACCATCACACGGGGTGTTAGGGTTCCAAGGTGTGGACTTGGGGAGGAGGTAAATATTCAGACCATAGCGGGGACCCTGTGCGCATTGTTTGGTCTGGAATTCCCCTGGTCACAGACAGCGCCCAAGCCCTGACGGCCGGATGAATTAGTAGATGGGCGATTAAGTCATGGGCAATATTTAGACATTTTTTGCCTGGGTTTCCTTCTGTAGTGTGTACAGCTTAGAGCACAATTTAAGATCCCATCTTTTTTTTTTTTTCAATTTATTTTTTTAAAATTTACATCCAAGTTAGCATCTAGCGCAGCAATGATTTCAGGAGTAGATTCCTTAATGCCCCCTCACCCACTTAGCCCATCCCCCCCACACCCCCTCCAGTAACCCCTGTTTGTTCTTCATATTTAAGAGTCTCTTATGGTTTGTCTCCCTCTCTGTTTTTATATTATTTTTGCTTCCCTTCCCTTAGGTTCATCTGTTTTGCATCCTAAAGTTCTCGTATGAGTGACGTCATAGGGTATTTGTCAGATCCCATCTAAATGCCTCTCACCGGAGTGTACCCTTCGGTCTTTGTGTCCGTCTGTCCCCCCATCCCCGGTGAAAAGCGCAAGGATCCTGGACACTCTTCAGGCGGTGGAGCTGATCCCGTTACTGTTGGCTTGTGCAAAACTAAAGAATTTAACTCCGGGGAAGCCAGAGCCCTCTATGGACAGGCTGCCTTTGGAACCTTGACCTGAGCTTGAGGACAGCCGGGTGCTGGGGCGCAGGTGTGGCTGGGGCGGCACCCTCCCCCCGGAGATTCTCAGGGTGCACAGATGATAGGCTGCCTTCCCCCACGCTGTTGTTCTAAGCTGTGATCGAGCCCCAAGGTGACAATTGCTCAGTTACGTGACCCTCTCAGTCTGCTAAACGTGGCAAAAATTGAGTAAGCTCTAGGTGCCCAGAACCATCCTGAACACATTCATGGACTGTCTCATTCATCTTCACGTTGTCGATATGCAGTACAGGTAACCCTAAAAGCTCTGAAAACACCAAGTTCTGGAAAGTCACTTGGCAGCACACTTTGGCTGGGGGAGGTCCTTGACAGGTTTTATCCACTCGAAGCGTGCCCGTGCTTCCGCTGTAAGATTCCAAATGCTGTGGAAGAGGAACAGCTAGAAAGCCTTTATTCTAGCATAAAGCCTCATTCAGCATAAGCCTTTATTCTAGAACTCCAGGCCCGAGAAGTCCCTAAAGCAGTGTTCTGCCTCCGGGGAACGAGGGAGGGACTGTCTACCAGGGCCGTAGCAGGAGAATCAGTCCTAATTCAGCAGGTGCAGGGATCGTGGGTTGAAGGTGGGTCTCGGCGGAGGGAGGAATTCTTCGTGCGTGTCTGCAGCCAGGATTCAGGGCTTTGGAGAGGAGCCAGGGCTGAGGTCCTGCGTGAGAGGGGGTGGAAGGGCCCACTGAGGAGGACAGGGACCCAGACGGCTTCCGTGGACACTTCTCAACCCTCCAGGGCCTCTCACGGAGTATGTTTGCTGATGGGGTGCTGCCCCAGCCCCTGCTGTGAAGTGCGGCGCGATACAAAAATATAGACGCTTCTGGGCATCTGATTCGCTTTCTCAGATCCAAAACACTATGAATTCTGAGACACATCTGGCCCCAGGTTCCTTGGTTAAGGGTTTCTTTTTATCAGCCCCATCTTACAGCCAAGGAAACTGAGGGCCACAGAGGCTAAGGGCCCCACCCAAGGGCTAGCATTTAGTGTGTAGACTAACAGACAACCTGCTTCCTGCGAGCCACTCCCAGATACCAGGGCAGCTGATTGGAAGGGATGTCTGTTTAGCCTCAGTTAGGTGCTGGGCCCCCGGGGCCTGACGCCCTGCCCTGGACTGGAGGCGCGGGCCCTGCCTCTCTTGTCCTGAGGTCCAGGGGAACCAGGGAGAAAGGCCGCTCTGGCATTTCCATGTTTCCGGTCTCTCCGGGGGTGGAGGAGGAAGCCTGTGGTTATTTTTCTCTCCACGTTATTTTCTTCCCCATGGACTTTCTTGACCATCGCGACAAACATGAGAACCATATGTTTGCTTTCTACCCCAGCTCCTGGCACGGACGTTCGAAAACCCGTGCAAGCTCCTGAGTGATAGGAGTATCCTGTGTCGTAATATTTGATTTTAGACCTGATTCCTCCCCTCACTGCCCTCCAGGGAGCGAGCGGGGCTGGAGACCGAGTCAATCACAAAATGGCAATGATGTAATCAACGATGCCTGTGTAGTGAAGCTCTACACAAGTGCATTTGGAGAGCTCCCTGGATGGCAAAAGCGCCCAGGAGCCGAAGAGTGACACACCCCAGGCCCCACGGGGACGGAAGCACCTGTGCTTGGGACCCTCCTGGGCATAGATGCGTAGATGCGCCTTCCACCTGACTGTTCATCTCTATCCTGCGTTGTAGCTTTCTAATCAGGAGACATAAGTGTGTCCCGTAGTTCTGTGAGCTGCTCGGGCAGATTATGGAACTTGAGGAGAGGGTCATGGTAACCACTGACTTGCAGCCATGTTGGACAGAAGTGTGGGTGTTCTGGGGACCCACGATTTGTGATGAGTGTGAGACGTGGACGGGCCATCGTGTGGGACCGAGTCCCCAGCTGGCGGGGCCCGTGCCAGAGCCGCAGGGCTGGTGTCAGAACTGAAACCAGGGCGCCCGGTGGGTGCCTGCAGAGCTGGGAGCCGGTTGGTGTGAACCCCCCTCCCACGCTATCAGAAGTGCTGCGAGGGGAATGACGTTTTCCGTTAGCCACTGACAATAATTTCAGTTGGAATGTTTTACTTCATAAGGATGATTTGGATAAGTAAGAAGCCTTCATGACTCCTTATTGGAAGTAAAAAGAAGGAGGGTCGCGTGTCTGGCCAGGACTTCAAGGTGCCACCAGGGAGGCCGAGGCCCCGCGAACAACCTGCTTCAACTCTCCGTAAATTCTCTCAGTGCTTCGTGCGTAAGCTGAGGAAAACATTTTTACAAACAGCTGTGTTACAGAAATTTTAAGCGGATGCCCTCTCAAAACACCACCCCCACCCCCACCTCGGGAGGAGCCCCAGGAGTCTGCACTTCCCGGCCCCCCTTCACGAACCCTGTTCTGTTCCCCGCAAGTCACACCACCCACGTGCGTCACGCCTCAGCTTGTGATGAACCCAAGTTCCACCTGGATTTCAAGACATCTCGTTTTCTGTTTGACAGGAGGCAGGGACATGCAGTGTGCAGGTAAACCTCCTGGCCCCGATGCCAGGGCAGTGGGTTGTTGAGTGGTTCCAAGGAGAGCGCGGGGTGCTCAGGAACAAAGAGCAGGCGCAGACCCGCTCGCAGCCTCAGCGTGGGAGACAGGCCTGCCTTGCTGCCACTTACAACTGTGGGGAACTCATTTCAGTACTTTATGTGCTGGATTGTTCGTTCTTTCTTTTTCTTTCTTTCTTTCTTTCTTTCTTTCTTTCTTTCTTTCTTTCTTTCAATAAATTTATTTTTGAGAAAGAGACCATTAGAGAGGAAGCAAGGTAGGGGGGTAGAGAGAGGGAGACACAGAATCCGAAGAAGGCGCCAGGCTCTGAGCTGTCAGCACAGAGCCTGACGCGGGGCTCGAACTCGTGAAAGGCGAGATCATGACCTGAGCCGACGTCTCCTACACTACTTTGGGAGCTTCATTACATTTCCTTGCAGAAAACCGAGGATTCTCAGGAGTTTGTATGTCTCATAATAGTTTCCTACTAAATTCTTATATCACTTGAAGCTTTCTCTTCTTTTTGTCCTGAATTAACCGGACATTTTTTCTTAATCCACCCCCACCCACGACAGACATTACTGACCCAAAATGTGGCAGGTTTTGGTTGATGATTTGAAGGCGGAACTACAGTGCTATGAACCACAGCACATAGTTTGAAATGGAATATTTGAATCTCTTTTCTAGAAAGCACCCCAGGCTGCCTCAAGAACCTGTAAAGTCTTGTCTCTGAAACATGTACAGTAATTTAGCTGGATGTCTTTTCCTAGCCCAGCCACCCTGCTCTGGAGCTATTTTTCCATGACACAATGGCTTTCTGGGCATTTTGTTATATAAACTATACTTCCTTTGCTAAAGGAGCTCCGGGGCCCATTTTTAAACGCATCATTCTTGTCTCCCTCCCCTACGTTTATGAAACTGCAAAGGGAAGCTTTAAGTGGATACTCAGCGTGTGCTGGTCAAATCAGTTTCAAGCATGTTGGTGAGTTCATCTTATTCCTCAGCACCTAGGAAGGGGAGAAAAGGACTCTGGGTGGGCATTTCTGCCAAGTGGCATCACTACGCTGTCCCTGGGAGCCATTATGCTGCCCACTCAAAATTTCGGGCTGTCTGTTCCCGAATGACCAGCTTGGGGACAGTGGGGCCCTGTGACTTACTCTGGCCAATGAGATAGAAGGAGAAATGATGTATATCACTTCCATGCTGCTGTGAGGCCTTCTCTGCCTCTACCGAGGCAGCTGGCAATGTTCCAGATGTGACTGCCCTGTCCCCCTAGACCGTGGAACCGTATAGAGTAGACCCTCTCCGCCCACAGGCTGATCTGCAGTGAACACTGAGAACACGTATTATGAGTGGGAAATAACAGTAAGCCTTTGTTGTTTGACCTCCCAGAGACTCAAATGTTTTTTTGTTACTAAGCATAATTAGCCTATTCTGACAGATACACTCTCTAATTCCTACAAAAACCCTATGAAGTAGGTATTATTATCTCCATTTTTTAAATGAGATTTCCTTAGGTCACAGAGCAAATGAGTGGTAGAGACTGTGTTCAAACCCACATCTGTCTGATCCCATGCCTATCCTCACTACTCTGGGTTTATAGTTATGTTTACTGAGCTTTACTTTCTGATGAAGCTTCTTACAAACTGACTCATAGCTTTTATAAACCCCTGATCTGCTGTGCAGTGATACCAATAAAAGAGCACTTCAGAATTTTGACTACACATTATTTCATTCGATCCTCACACCAACTCTGTGTGTTAAGCAGGTTCTTTTCAGCCTCATTGTGCAGATGATCTGAGTGAAGTGCAGAGTCATGAAGTCCTGAAGCTGAGACTTCTGACTTCAAATGTGGGGCCCTATCTATGTCCAGAGGGCCTTTCCCACCAACCAGTATTTCTTCGGTGAGTATTATTTGCCTCGTGCGGCACCGCAGAAGGATTGTAGAACAAGCAACGATGATTTCATTCATTCTTTCATTTATTCAACAAATGTTTACTGATCAGCTCCTTGGTGCATGCATTTAAGCCAGATCTGCTGACAAATTTCCAGAGGGGGTAAATTAGGAGAAAAGAGACACACAGCTTCCAGAAAGAAGTGTGAAGGTAGGAACAGGGCAGCCATGCACCGGAGCCGGTTGGCGCTAGCTCTCAACGGCGGCACATCTCTCTGCATATCTCTTCCAGCTCTGAGTTCAGTGACCTTGCAGCAGCTTGAAATGGATCGTGTTGGGAGTATGTACACCATGGAAATAGGTAAATGCTAAGAATCCCAGCTTTTTTGTTTTCTTAGCCTATTGTTAAGCATTGACTAACAATGACTAACAATTGACTAACAATTGACTAACAACAATCAACATTGTTGATGGAGGCTTCGTGGGAATGGCGGCCTTTGCCCTAGAACTGGGGAGTGAAAGTTAAAATTAAATGTGTTCCCTGGCCAACACCTTGGACTAGAGGCGAAATTGCCTGTAGCTTCCATGAGCAATCTGGGAGAAGTGTCTGTTCTCTTTTAAGAAGGAGAGACATAGAGAAAGCCATCCAGGGAAGAATGAGGAATGACAAATCTTCTAGCAACTCAATCCTATGCCCCCAGGCCCAGGAAGCATCAAAAAGCAGCATCAATCGCTGAGGTGGCAGAAGGGAAGTATCTTGTGGTCACAGGCAATATCTCCAGCAGTGGCGTCGACTGGAGGCCTCATTGCACAGATTCTTAGCAACAGTGCTGAGACTGGGTACCAAGATGAGTTAGAACAGCAGAAACTAGAACAAGCCTACAAGGTACTAGAAACCAAGGGAGTGAAGAAACCAAATCCCCACTCTCCAAATGAATGTGACTCTGCCTTCCCCCCACCCTCCACGGAAAGGTTGACAATGAGTTCTTCTCTCCAGTGTTACAGTAGATTCGTCTCTTCCTAATGATCGGGTCTTTTCTCGCCGGTCTCTCAGCATGAGAAAGCCAAGGTGATGCATGGACACATTCCCCCCCACCCCGGGGAGCCAAGACCTCTAACGCTACAGAGCCCAGCACCGTAGAGCAGGAAGCGTACATTTCCAAAGTAGACCACTTGGAGCAATGATAAGTAAGATGTCTCTCATTTTTACCCCATGTTTCCAAGCGCAAGTAGTCTACCTACTAGGGACATGACACCGTACAATGATGGGTGGCCAGGAATGCATACTTGGTCCCAGAGGATGACACCAGCCTTCACATGGTGTCAGCTCCAGCCCAGCACCTCAGCCGTGCCTTCCAAAGCGCGTTCCGTGGCTCTCTCAGGATGGCATTTTCTGAGTGTTCCGGTAGGTG